TTACCAAACAGGTAGCAAAATCTGTCCTGATATTCTTTTCAATCTTTAGATTCCAAGAACTGTATCACTCCCAGCTTGACGAAGAAGCAAAAGTAAGTCGTAAACAAGCACTGACGAGGAAAATAGCTAAATAGAAATGAGAATGGGGAGAACTTGAGGCCTTCCCAATGTACCACGCTTTAGAGGCATAATTGTTCTGCGGACAAATGCAGCTGAGGCTACTAACAGCAGAATGTCTGATTTTATTAATTATTTTATCAGTTAAGGGTACATATTTATTGAAAGATTAACTCACTTACATGTATTCTGTTGAAATATCAAAAAAATGATGAGTGCTTTCCCTGGACAACTAGAACTGACCACAAAACACAGTTGTGACAGCACAAGTATTGCATAGAAAAGAGAGAAACACTACTATTGGTACTACAGAAAGATCAGGACCTTGGTCAGCTGGGCACTAAATGGGGGAAGAGGTATGCTTACTGCCTCTGCATGGACCACGTGTGCTGCCAGTTGTCTCTGAAAGAGTAAGTTTCAGTGAAGAGAAAGTAAAAGGTCAGCTCAGATGTGAAGTGTTGCAGGGCTGGGAATGGATTCCTTGTGTTGGGAATTATACCGCTTCTAGTAGGAAGACATTTTTTTAAGTTCAGAAGCATCGAGATTAATGATAGCAGAGGCAAAAAAATTGAGCTCAGAAGGATATGAAGTTACCCCCAGCTTTAAAAGCAAAGTTAGAGCAGGTACTGTTCTGATTATTATTTTAAGATACATGTTGGCAAGAGACTTGCACTACAGGAGCCATGTCAGGTCCTTAGAAGTGCGCATAGTCATGTGGCAGTAGCTTAAAGGAAATAGGGATGAGACAAAAACTTGATATGTTTGAAGTGCCTTGACATGACGTTATTTTTTATTTTTTATTATTATTTTATTTTATTTTTATTTGTTAATGGATGCTCTGTTTTAATTGCCCTTCAGAATGCACAGCTGCCTTCTAGCAAACAACACAAAGAGAACCGGCAATACTTAGTGCCCTCCGGTAACACGAGCTAATGAACAACTTCTAGTGAAGGAAATTGAGTCAGTAGATGACTGTTCATGATTTCCCAAGCTGAAGGCTGGAAAGTCCAATACTTAATTGACTTGGCTTTTTTTGAAAGTGTCCTCTTTCAAAGAGACAGGATGTGAACAACTGCTTCTCCGTCAAGTTGGACATTGATATTCCTTTGCACCTTTAGAATCTGCATGATTATGTTTCTGTTTGTGTCTGTCAGAAAATGAAGATCTTCAACAGCAGGTACAAAAAATTATTTTGAAGTTATTTTCTTGAAGGCTGCTTTCGGACCCTCCTAACTAAAATTCTTATTTACATACCAGGTTTGCTTTCAGAAAGATGATTGGTTGATATTGTAGTGGCAAATGTGACATACTCTCCTATTTCCTAATTCTGTATTTTGACTTACAACTCCTCCTCCCTGGAGCATGAAGAGGGAATGAGGACAGGACAGCTCGGCAGATATTTTTGAACTTCAGAGTTGATTTGTGACCTTCTGATCAACGGTACGGAAGATGTGCAGTATTTACTTGAATCTAGGCTTTAGATAACAATGATGTAATATTTCTTTTGACAGATAAGGACAATAGGAAATGAAATAACACAGGGAAAGAACAAATTGGAAGTAGGAAAAAAAAAAAAAGAACAAGCGGCTAATGGAACATTTGGCTGCATGGGCATATGAGCAGGTAAGATGTGTAAGGGGTGGAAAATATCTACCTGAAGCAACAGGGAAAAGTTAAAATATTCAGGGAGAGACAGGACATTGAACACCCTTTTTTGTTGTTTTTTACATTATTTTTCCTACAGAATGGTAATTTCTGCTCTTTTTTCCTCAGTATGCCCAGCAACAGGTACAACAGGTCTTGGCAGAGCTGACTGACAGCAGGAATAAACTGTCCTGTGACAAAGGAGAACTTCAGGTACCTGTCAGTGTCCTAATTGTCAGTTCACAGGGGAAACGCCATTTTATTTTATGTTTATATATGACTGCTTAACCTGAGCTCTTCACTACTTAATTTGGAGGGAAGCTTTTATTTGTCTTTCTATGTTCTTGACACTACACAAACTCTTTATTTTGAGAATTGTGTAGAAAAAAGCATCTTTCATCTCGCTCATACCACTTACTGCCTTTGGGTGATAGATAAAGGCAAGATGATGTTGATGTAGCATCTCTAGAATTTGTGATATATAAGTTGCTTAATGTACAAAAACAGTTGAATAGCTAAGAACCACAGTGAGGCATTAAAAAAAAATACAAGTAGAAAATTGGTTGAAAGATTAGAAACGTAGAACATTTTACGAAATATAGGAATTAATACGGAGGGAGGCAAACTGTGGTGATAAGCAAAAATAAGCAGTGTACATAAGCTTTCTTAAATATTATTTAGCTGGACAGTAAATGAGGTGCTGGAGGTAAAGTTTTTACTTCAGTGTGACCTATGTCAGAATTTGGGGCAGCAGTGCAGAAATTCCTGAGGTTCTTTTAAAAACAGCGCAGAATATGTAGTGGTTATTAGAGAAAGCTACATTTATGCAATAGCCCTAGGTCTCATGGCAGTGACAGAAGAAAGTGATCCAAAACATACTTAAATTAGAACAAGGTGATTAATTCTAATCTGGAAGTAATTCTATGGAAAGATAAGTTAAAAGTGTTTCACTTGCTGCTCTTGCTACTATGGGACTTAAGAAAAATAAAACATTTGCTCTGGGCAAAGAAGAATTGCTATATCACTCCGCTTCTGTGTTGTGGTCAAGCTAATGCTTTTCCCTTTCTTCACTAAAAAGAAGCTGAGCTATTTTGTCACACTTCTTTTCTTAAAACTGGAGTGCAGAAGCTGGAGGAATAACTGTAGTGTCTCTCAAGATGCACGTTTAAACAATAGCGAGCTTTGCAAGTGCATTGTGGCCACAGAGACCACATACACTAAGGAAAAACAACTTTGAGAACTTCTTACTCCTCAGAATTAGGGTCAGACTAACTAATACTAACATAGCCATTAGAAATCAGATTCAACACACCTTTTCCTGAAGAACAGAGAACACATTTAATGTTAACTTTAGCATCCTAGTCTTCAGGTGAAAACAGAACCTTTTCATTAAAATATGAGAACTGTGGAAGCTCAGCTAAACTTCATGCATGAAAATCACAAAATTTACAAGTTTATAATGTGTTTTCAGGCTAGAAAACACACAGGTTACAAGACCGTAACGATAGTCTTCTCGATTTATCATTTGTTCCAGTTAGAGAACAAATAGTGGCAGATAATACTTGTCTAGCGATGTTGCTGTAAGGCAGGTAGTTCCTCTGTTTCAGTCTGTTCACTCAGTCATAATGGACAGAAGCACAGAGAAGAGTTGTGTTATCTTGGACAGTGAAACCAAGCTCGTACATACAAGACAGTGAAATGGAGTCTGCTGTCAGGAGCTTGCTTGGTAAATGAGAAGCAATAGGAGTCTGTAAAGAACAGTTACTGTTGTAAGTTCATTCTTCCTTGTGAACATCTTGACATCTTGAGACAGTTATTTGAATTTATAGGTTAGAATAGTGATCAAAATATCATTTGTTGTTGGGAAAAAAAATACATATGTTGTTGGAAAAACAAGGAAGGTGAAAGTGACAAACTGTTGATCATATCCATAATCTACATACCATACTCTAGAAATTACACAGAAGATATAACCACGTTTAGGACGTTTGCCTGGAAAACAGGAGGTCTGATTTTGGTGTTTCCAGAAAGCAAAATGAATCAAATATTTATCTTCTACTTTAATTCTCCATCATCAGAAAATCAAAGGGAATTGGATATTATGTTAATAGTTGCAATCTATAACCTGAACACTTTCAGATTTTGGAAGAGTTCTGCTGCTTTTCAGTTACAGAGAACTAGCTGTAGAAAGCTCCCATAGCAGGTACAGCCCAGGTGGGTGCTCAGAGCCAGGAGGCTGCCATGGCACTGCAGAGCTACAACGGCAGGAGACACAGTTCTATCAGCACTGTGTCTTGCTGCTGACAAGAGGGAAATTGTGCAGGTTTGGATAACACGCTATGGAAAGTATCACAGACGAGAGCTTCAACTGTTTAGTGTGCCTTAAGGCATCCTACATGAGACAAAGTCTTCTCGAATTAATGTAAACTTGGGAATAAAATCATAGTATCTATTTGTTAAAGTAAATAGGTGGTTTAGAGAGTATTTCATTAATTTCTCACTTTTTCTTGTACTCTCATCTACACTGCCAATGAGAGCTGATGGATTTTGTGGTGGAAATGGCACTAAAAAGAAAAAAATCCCCAGCAAGCTCTTGGCAGTATAAATCTTCCGACCATAATGCTAGGTCAGCTGCAGGCTCAAAAGAAGAAGTTATGGAATCCAATTTACGTGCTTGTACTCTCCCTTCTACTTCACACCAAGTTCATTTTGAATGATACAAACATTCAAGACATTCTGCTTCTGAATGTGGAGATAATCCTATGGTCAGCCTGAAAATTCTGTTAAATGCTGTAAAGAACATGGGAGAAAAACCAGAGGATAAAATAAATGTTCTCTCACCAAGATTCTTGAAAACTTTATCGTCTACTGGGCTTAACAAAGGAAACTTTAATGTGGTGAGTGATAACCATGACATCCAATTTATAAAGACAGTTAATTTCAATTAACTAGTTGATGGCAATGAAGAAATGGCTGAAAATTAACAAGGACCAAGTCTTTCATGTGTTTTTTGTTTGAAAACAATGTAGGTGAAAACTTAGGCTAAACAAATTAGGAATTAACAACTGATTTTGTTGAGAAACCTAGCTTTGTGCCTTTGTGGCGTTTCCTAGGTGCCCAGAGTTCAGAAGTATTGGAACTGTCAATGAAAATAATAATAATAATACAAAACCAACCCACTCATCTTCTAAAAAAAAAAAAAAAAAAAAAAAAAAAAAAAAAAGTACCACAAAGTTTGGACTTAAAACAGGGGTAGAACCAAATTTATGTACTTGGAGAGAACACTTTCCCTGATCAGGACCATTGCATACTCTTAGCACTAGTTAGTTATTAAAGAATCAAACTAATAAATGGTGATTTTCCTGTTAATTTGCCTGATGATTTCTTGTACTGCAGATGGCAAACCTGCAGCGTCAGCTGGAGGCAGCAAAGGACAATAACAGTAAGGTGATAATGATGCTGGAGCACGTGTTAGCTTCTCATAGCAAGATGCAGACAGTTCTGGATGCAGTACAAACAGAGTTGGGACACAAGGACACTGAAATCAGCAACTGCAGAAAAGACAGGTAAATTAAGCTGATTCTGTTTCTCTGGTCTACCAGCAGTGTGGTGAAGAAAGATTCAGTGGAAGATTGGCACCTTTCCCATGCTCTGGCTAATAAGGAGAAGTTAGGCTGAACAATTCCTATAGCCTTTCCTGCCAAACTGAAGCATACTTACCATAACGAGCAAAATACACTGAATGTTTGTGGCTATAGCTGCAAGAACTGCACTTGTAAAGATTTGGCTTGTCAGGTATCACGCATCTTGTGAAAAGAATGTTAAAAAAATTAACTTCAGTGACAGGCAAAACTTACTATGGGTAAGCTAGAGCTCCAAACTTGAAGATAGTTACCACATCAGAGGAGATGTGCACAAGTTGACTTATACGTTATTTATCTGATTTCCATTTTCAGAAGCCAGAGTCAGCGGAAAATACGGATGTTAGAAACAGAATTGGTACATCACAAAGCCAAACTAGTTGCCATGGAAAGGCAGCACGGCAGCCAGGTAGAAAACATGTTTTTCAAAGGTAACAACCAACATTGCATTTTTGGGGTCAAGACAGTTATCTCTTCTTTTTTGGTGAGGACAGCATGGTGTGACACATTCACGTGAACAGAGGCAAAAAAAAAAAAATCCATCAGCCTTTGGCTGTGGAACAGGAAAATCATTATCCAAGTGCTGAAGGTGGCAAGCAACTCCTTGAAAAGAAAAATTCCTTAGCACAGGTGAAGGTTTTATAGTTTGCAGCTGCATACAGAAAATGGACAGAGATTTCTGAAATATACATGAAGCCTTTTGTTTTTTCTTCTTTGAAAGAAGAGGGAGCAGGAGGAATGGAAGTCCACGAAGTTGCTTTCTTCCCCTCTCTCCTCCATAATACTTAGCTTAAAAATAATTACCTCACAACCCGAACACAAACCAAAGAACATTTTTTCCAGGGGAGTCATGGTTACATGACAAGTTCTGATTTTCTGACTAAGCTAGTAAGTGATTGGCTTCATAAGTATTCCCATCTAGGTGTCTGACATTTGTAATGAGACAGCTGGTAAACAGAGTTACTTCCTGTAAGCTGATACTGACTGGGAATGGAAGCAAATATTTCTGTGTAAACTTTTTAGTTTGGGTAAATATAAGTCTGATCTGTTGTTACTGCACAGTTGGAACCACTTTCTAAGGCACTAGAAGTTGCTAGAATGGACAAAAAGACACTTGCTCTTCGTTTGGAGGAAGTCCAGCAGGCCAATAATGTCCTGCAGAGCAAACTGATCCACACTCAGTATGACCTGAAAAGTAAAGGAGCTGAGCATCAACAGCTGGTGGCCTGCAGGTAAGACCAGATCCAAGATACTATACCTGAGGAAAAACATTACTTTTTACTAACAGAGCTTTTTACGGTGCTTATCTGTCAGCATTGAGTGTACGCTGAGCCAGCAGTATGATAGTCTCACACAGAGCTACAGAAGTGGGCGCTTCCACCCATTCCTGAAATGACTCTAGAACCTGTTCTGCTGTACTGCTTACTCAGGGTCATTATGGTATTTCTAAAAGCACCTCTTCCATTAAGATAGCAGATATTACTTCTACTTTAAAGTGGCCTGTAGCAGGTAGAGCAAGGAGACCAAAGGATAGCTGTTAAAATCCTCTAATCCAAACTTAACACCAGTAAGTACAACCTCAAAACAAGGAAGTGTTGGTGCAGTCTGAATATCCTTGTTATCCTTGTCTAAACTGGCTTAGCCATCTAATTTCCTGGAGTCGAGGTTGGTGAGGTTTTTCTTTTTGTTTGTTTGTTTGTTTTAAAAAAAGTCTTGTACAGCTATTTTAAACCTCCTTGGAAATAAATGGAATATTTAAATATGTAAAGCCACTCCAATCTTTAAACAAGCGTTGCAAAGCATATAGCTAAAAAATGTTTAGTGGAATTCTCTATCCTATTCACATATTTAAAAAGTAAAGCATTACTAAATGTACGTGTGAGTAACTGAATTTACCTCTTCTCTTTAAAGGGAGCAGTTAATTGAAAAAATCAAGACTGAGGAAAAGATGCACATAGAAAACAGAGATTTTGAAGAAGCAGTTCCATGCTGAACAAGAGGTTTCTAGGAAGGCTGCCCATCAAGAGTCTACTGAGGTGAAAAGGGATATGGTTAAAATATTTCAGTGTGTGGCTTCCATAGAAAGAGGCCTTACAATGTCCAATTTTCATCAGAACAAAAGCAGCTCATAACAAATATCTCCTTTTCCATTCATGATGGAGGTATCCATCACCTGTTCACAATAAATTTTGGCATGTGGTAGACAGACATCTTGGTGGCCACACACAGCAATGTCCATACTGTCTAATTTCTTCCGTGTCCCACTGAATACCCATATACCTTATTGAACATGATGTCAACATTTATATCACTCATTCCAATGGCTTCAAAAGGATATTCTGAAGTTGTATAGAAATCACCAAGGATATGCTACAGGATGGATGCTTCCTTGTATTTCGTGGACTGGCTCATAATACTCAGCATAACCTTAGTATTAACTCAGACCCCAGCATGCATTTTTGTTCCTTTGTTACAATGGTATTAAAAAAAAAAAAAAAAGTCAAACCACTGGGTGCTGTTGCTTTTTTCAGATATAGCCAATCAATTCGATGCTCTGCTTGTTGTTGTAGAGAATTAACTAATTTTTACTGTTAACGTGAACTCACTTTTTCCTGTCCCCTAGCTAAAGAAGGCTCTTCAAGGATCATCCTCCAAATTTGCTGCAGTTTCCCATGCTAACAGGGACCTGCAGCAGAAAGTGATAGAGCTGGAAAAGACTTCATCCAGTTACAGGGAAAAGCTAAAAAGCCAAAGAGCTCAAGTCAAATGTTGCCTGGTCACTAAAGCTAATGCAGGGAGAATAAAGGTATGTACATGTTTTTCAATGGACACAGGTAATCTAGCTGAGAACTCCTTTTTCTCCTACTGAATAGGACTGCTGTTGTCCCTTTTTAGTGGGGTGAGACAGAAAATAAGATCAACTCTGCCCCAAAATTCTGACCAGATCAATAGCATAAAATTGCTATTATGCATAGAAATTGCATAACCTTTCCAGCCATATCCCTCCCTGCTCCCTGTATCCAGTATGCTGCCATGGAGCCCTTTTGTGTTCCCCCCACCACAGTTTTTTTATAGTAGCATTTACATACTTTATCATTTTGTAGATAGTCTATTTAATGATCGACCAAACCAAAGATTGCTTTGTCTAGTGATTGGTCCCTTCCCATTCTTTGTAGGGAGTAAAACTTTTGGTTTGACTAGTACCTGTTCCCAGCAACTAAGAATCTAAGCTCCTCAGCAGAATCTAAGCTCCTCAGCAACTTTGTCACCTGCTTGTTCCCATCTCCACAAGGGGGCATGAGTCATCTTGACTTCAGTAATAGTTCCAATGTAACATCCTGAGAAATTCCTGACTGTTTTGTTTCTCTTTCGACAACTTCCAGGAGATTGAAACTGAACTGAGAGAAATAGAAGCAATAAAGGAGGAATATCAGAAGAAGAATTATGAACAGGTGAGCTTTCCTGACCAGTTCCCAGTCTGAGAGAGAGACCGATCTGACAAAATTATTGGAATGTAATTCTTGTGTTGTTGTCTTCAGTCACAGCACATCTAACAACTTGTGTCAGAGTTGAAGAGTCTGCGTAGTGAGATGCAAATATTGTTGGAAAAACAACGTAAAGTGCAAGTGCAGAACAGGCAGCTGGAGACCCAGCTAGAAGCGGAGAGAAGGCGAGTGCATCAGTTGGAAAACGAGCATCAGGTAAAGTGGTAGCAGCACGCATATATGGTGAGACAGCTGTGGAAATATTTTTATGTAAAGCCTCTGGGGACATAGAAGAAGTGGTAGAAAGACTCTGAACCCCAGTTCAGAGATGTTCCTGTAAATCTCAGTGTATTTGCTCCAGTCTAGAAAGACTAAGTAACAACATAAATTCACTACATAGCTGACTTTAGAGAGATTCTTTTTAAAAAACAAATCTCTTAAGTTATTTACAGTAAAAATTGGAGAATCCTTCTACTATAGTGCAGATTTTTATTTGCACCATGAAAAAATTCCTAGAAAAACTTTACTTTTTCTACCTAGATACTAGAAAAAAACAACCCAACATCTGAAGAAATGTAAAGAGGAAATAGAAAAACTGAAACAAGCCAGTATGGTGTCAGAACAGGCGAGACTAGTTAGCATTAGAATTATAATTCACTGGAAGTAATAAGTTGGTGTTTCAGTATTTGCATCAAGTAAAACTTCAAATCTCAAATATAGGTCTCTGGTGAAGAAGGAGGTACGTTCCTGACCTTGTCAACTCCAAAGGAACTAAGTGGCGTTTATCTTATTTTTTATTTTTTACTTTTAAGATTACAGTTTCATCTCTTATGTGAATAATTTAGTTTAGCAGAGCTTGGAAGAAGAGCTTCCCTCAGCCTTTTTTTTTTTTTTTTTTAAATTGGGCTCGGGGTATATCTGTCCTAATCAAATAAAGAAAAGTGGTGTGGCCAAGTAAATTGTGCCCTGAGCTGCTCTTGCATCACTTTGTACGTGACATCATTCCAAACCACATTCACCACCATCCCCTGAGAAGTCATTTGTCCATGTATTACCTTATCCTTGTACTACCTCACAGCAGCAGCCAAATTATTGTAACTTGTGTTAATAACTATAGTAGTTTGAGGTGGAAAATCTAGGGTTTTAGATGCTTTATAGCGTACTAACCAGTATAATCTAAAATTAAAAAGGAATAGAGGTGCCCCAGCTTGAGGTCTTACCAATTCAAATACTGTTCTGAGACTAGAAAGAGAACTTGATCGCAGGATAATGTTTCCACAGCACTTGTTAGTTTTCTTCACAGATATTTCTCAGGAATTTGTGGTACTCAGCCTCCATTTTTTCCTCCCTCTTTCCCCAATGTCTCTGTATTTTACACTGTGTTGAAGAGAACTGTACTGACTTCGTTACTCTCCTAAAAGTGGAGCAGTTTTGTAGCAAGGACGTCTCTATCACACCCACTTCACCTCAATGAAAGAAAGCATTACGGTCAGCTCCCACCCCTAGGTACAGGAGAGAGATTTGAGTAAACATTTGTATGCCACGCTGCCCTTCCTCACACAGCTCAAGAACTGGAACACAGCCTGCATTAACTGTTCTCTCTGCAGTTCTAATTACCACTGCCTTCCCTAGATGACAAATAACCTGAAAGAAGCTCAGCACTGGTTCAAATCAGAGTTTTACAGCCTGCAGCTAGATTGTCTGAAAAACCACCAGCTGGTGAACTTTGAAGACAGTAGCTCCAAGGAGATAGTAAAGAATGCAAGCATGTTCTTTTCAGAGAGCAAAGAAAATAGGCTCAGGGAAGTATCTGATAGCTCATATTGGTCAGAACTTCAGTTGCCTAAACTTTTAATTGGCTCTTACACATGGATGGAAGGCAGACCCTTCTTCCTATTCTAGAATAGTTTGATGCTGACTTTGGCAAAAGAGGAGGAAACAAATATGCAAAACCATTACATATGCAATTACATAAGCTTCAAGGTACTACTTCCATACTTTGAGAAGTTATATTGTACGTGCTTCATGTTTTGTTGCTGCTCATAAACTAAATACTTGTCTGAAAGTTAACAGCTAGCATATTTTTTTTTCCAGCATTCACTTGTTTCAGTGGTTCTCCTTCCCCTCCTCCAAATCCTTGCAGCAACCCTTTTGAAAGCTGTGCTTACCTTGGTTGTGTAGATTCATCAGCCTTCTCCATAACTGGCAGTTCTTAGATACTTTTACTAGCTTTGCCGAGGCTTACGTATTAATCTTTAACCTCTTCATTAATAATCATAAAGACTCCCCAAATAGTCATCAGCATCATAAAATATTGCATTTTCCCCAGCAGAAAAAGCAACCAGAGCTTCCCCCTTACACCTTCCCAGAGAGCAGGATGAGCACCCAACACCTCCAGCTCAGCAGCAGGAAGGCCTACGTGAGCTGGGCAGGAAATGAGCTCATTTCACTGGGTGATTCCCAGCCCAGGGAGAGCATCACCTGCCACTGGGAGACTCCTTGACAGCACCCAGGTACTGGAAGAATCAGCAACCTTACTTATCCAAGATAGTTTTGTATCACTGAGAAGGTACTGCAAATAAAACATGCTCCTAAGACACCCATGTATCAGTGACCTAGGAATTCTTGTTTAAATTGTAAATTCTGGTTTGTTACCTCCTACCTTTCACCTACATTACAGAGATTGTTCTCTGTGTGTGTGTCTGTGTGTGTGCACAAGAGACAAGTTACCATGATTATCCTTTTGACTCAGGTGCTTTGCATCATGAGGCTGACCATAACAAAACCACTATTTATAGCAAAGCAATTATTCTGTATGTATCATTACTGTAAACTGTGTGCTGCTGATCTGCTACATCTTTGCTTTCATCGCTTTTATCAGCTTTACAATAAGGCCTGGCAGGTGCTAGCAAAACATCTCACACTGGTTTGCAGAACAATCTGGTGAATTGCTGAAAACAGTGTCATGCAGCTGTGGCTAGGTGATGATGTGGCCAGGACAGGGAAGAACTGGCAGGACTGGCTTCTTCTAATGACAGATGATGTCTGGGTCATGAGGGAACATAAGCCTTGGGCTATTTTAGGTGCATATAAGGAATTCATTAGGTGTGTGATGTTATACCTTCATAAGAATTTGTGGAATTTGTTTAACCTATCTTAATATGGAATAACAAACTTGGGAAAGAGTACCTGAAGCAGATAGATGACTTACATTGTATTAAGTTGAAGATGATTATAACATGTTCAGTTTTTGTGCTTGTTTGACCAAGGATCAGTTCAGCTCTGCCTCGGCTTATTCTTCTGTGTGGACCTGCCAATACAACGTAGCTTCAGTACAGGTGTTGTTGCACTCTGATCTGCTGCAACAGAACTGATTGCCAGCTTCTCTGCAATCAGTGGTATTATTTATCTCTAGAGAACCTATACATGTTATTTACAATACTTGTTTAGTGTAGAGGGAAGACTTGAATACAGATGGAGCCTGAGAGTAGCCCAAGGACACGGCAGGATTAGGTCATCCTGCTTCTACAAAGATTTGGTCCTAAACTTTGACTTTACGTGGTAGTACTCTGGACTAAGTCTGAGAGACCTGACCTCAGAGACCTCCTTGAAGCAAACAGATGTTCCAAGGAACAAGGGGGGGCTGAGAACACTGTTAAAACCAGTCTACATCTTTCATTCACCTGATCTTCATTAAATTGTGCTGCTGAAAAGAAGGCCTATCCAGCATGGGTTTAGCTTCGTCCTAGTCAAATAGTTCCTTCAGAGATCAACCAGCATGTATGCTGCACCTGCTCCTTAGATCTGCTTAGATGGTTTAGCAAAATCTGTGTGTCTCCACCTCCACAGTGCCCTCAGGCAAACAGCAATCAAAACTGTAATCTAGTTTTGCCTGGTGTTAACTCAAACTGTAATGACAATTGAAAAAGTCTTCTGGAAGAGCACTTACACTTTAACACTCTTGTGTTTTAATGAATGAATTGTATTTGAATGCATTTTTATTGACTGATTAAGAAGGTTGCCTGATGAGGGACACATGATTGTGACTCTGATGATTGTGACTTTGCCCTGTGCAAGAGGATGAAGCATGCTGCAACTGGCATGATGGCAGGACAATAAAGCTGACCACTCCCAGGTTTCCTCTGCAGGAGTTTTTACCAAGGTACCATATACCTCAAGGGTATGGTTCTTCTCACCTTCCTTGTTCCAGAATCCCCTGCGTCCTTTAGGGCAATGCATATACAGTTACTTTGTATATCGAAATGCCAAGTCTGATTATATGCCTGTGGACACTAAACATGGTATTTATGTTTGTGTAGTAATGTTTTATTCAAGATTCAACACATCCTCCTGCTTCTTTTAAATTTGTTCACCATTTATGGTGGCAAGCATTAAGATACAGTATAATTGTAATGTATTACTGTATCACAGTCCCTCTTGCCTTTAGCACTAGCTTAAGGCTAGATTATATCTGCTTTATCAAGTAACACAGCTCTGTGAGTTGAATGAAGAATGAAATAGCTGCTCCAGATGTCCAGGACGAGTTTTGGGTTGAGTTTTACTTCAGATTTAGCACCACATTACAGAACTACAGGAGCAACAATTAAGAGAGAACTCCAGGGTGTTCATCCCTGACCTTACAGTAAGAAAACTTGGGGTTATCTTTGTGCTAAGGCAACCATAACCATGATACAAACAAAGTAATCATACTGATTAAAACCAGGACTTTTTCTTGGAACAATATAAATTAGAAGCCTGTATCCCTTTGAAAGGCACCAAACAAGATATTTCTTTCCAAAAGCTTTGGGGACAACTACTGTATAAAACCCATTCAAACACCAAAAGTACATGATACATGAGATCTTGTAATTCTTTTCTTTAAACACAATAATTGCTAAACAGTTGGATAGTGATCTAGATAAACATACGTATTTTCTGTACACATCTCATGTTCTGCATTTTGGTGTTTCCCTAGGCAAGACAATTAACATGGGCTATGCCTGTTTAAACTTATTTTCATTGGGGAGTTCACATTTATATGGTGTCTGTTTTGTCTCTCTTTGTGTGAAGTCCAGTCTTCTCTAATGTCTGTCACTGTTGCACAACAGCAATGTAACATATTTCTTAAATGGTGTAAAATCTAATTGTGTGAAAACTAATTAAAGACTGCCTATCTTATAGCCATTAATGCAAGTTGGACATAGCAAAACAATATTTAAGTCCTATCTTCGTTTATAGTTTTTCTCCACAAACATTCCAGAAAGCTCTAGATAACTTACTTGTGACTTCCTCAAGACAAGCAGCGTCTCTTCCTTCCAGACACTCAGAATTGTTTAGTGCAGCCGCTCTGAACACTGTTTGCTAGCAATGTGAATTTTCCGGTCCATATTGACTGGGTTTATTTAAATGCAACTTTCTGTTATTTAGTGCTTAAAGACAATTTAGAAAAAAGTTTAAAAGCATCCTGAGTGTATTTTTCCTTTATTTTTTTCCCCACAAATGTTAAAAAACATACCTCCTAGATTTACAAAACTAATTCAGAGTTCTAGCAGCAGCTATGGTCAAAAATAAAGTAATTTGTAGTAATACCCTAACACCGGTCAATTTCTAGGGCAATTCTTAAAAAATAAATTACAACAAAAACAACCTGCCAAGTCTATTTTATAA